ACAAATTTTTGTTGCACTATCATATACATAAGCGGAAACCTACCCTCATTGTTAAGAGACTGACCGCCAACACAATGCACAGCACACACATTCTTGTTCGGGTTAAATTTGGAAGGTAATTTAGAGGTTATGCAACCTGTGCAAGATTACAGAGCTAAGAGTGGCAGGGCCTGAGCCACATCTGTCACCATGCCCCGGGGCCATCCTGCAGGGTTTAGAATCATGATAAAAGTAAAAATCCTCTTGGCAGCACTTCAGAATAATTTTTACAAGTAAAGTTCAAGAGCAGTTGGAGGGGGTAATGGAATGAGCTTATAAATAAACTTAGTAAAACAAAGATTCCTCTAAACCCAAAGCAAGCAAACAAAAGCGCATTCAGCATGGCGGAGAAGCCGTCGGGTGGCGCGCGGTGTGGATGAGGTGTCGGTCCGGATGCCAACACCTTTTCGGTTTTGAGCTGCACCCCCTCAAGTGAACTCACGTCCTCGTCCCAACAGACTCCAAGAGCACATTCACAGGCCAGTGCTTTCCGCCGGCCTCCGCGAACCCCGCACTGGTGTTGACTTTAAATATATTTAGAAGCAGTCAGCTTTTCCCTTCTCATGCTGTGAGTCTGGGTGGGGGTGAGGGGCGGCTGCGACATTTGTGAACCCACACCAGTTATTTAGGTCACCATGCACCAGGACACAATTGTTTGGCACAAATTGGAATGCAAAATATGTCACAGGCACGTATCCAGACACGTATGTTCCTATATACGTTTACATATGCGTGTGTACCTAGACAGAAACACATGGAGAAATGCATATAGAAATGCATGTGCTTTTTAGGTTCTAGAAAATTCAAAGTAAACAAGGGCCTCTATATACGTCACATATGTTCACATTCAGCACATACTTCCGTCCCTGTTATAAACATTCTCATTAAGAGTTCATAAAAATTCAAAAGAAAAGGGAGTTGGGTACAGGAAGGAAGAGGGAAGACTGGTAGAAGTGTTCTATAATTTGTCAAGCTTTCAAGGGTGACAACTTTTTAAATAGAAATAAAGCATTGCCTCAAAATTATCCATCTCTCTTCCTCCTCCTCCTCGCTCTCTGTCTGTTCCTAGACACCCCTTTTCTTCCTCGCTCTGGCAAACATTATGGCCCTCTGAAACCTGCCAAATCCACGGGGTCCACACAGCACCATCCAAACCCGTGTCCCCTCTCTTGAGGCGATGATGAAAACCTCACACGTTCTCACTGCTTGTCACTCTCGTGCACAGGCACGGGACTGGAGCACCTTCTCTCCCCGGCCTTCATGAAGCCTCCCGTCAAAGGCAAGGAGAGTCCGCGGGCCTGGAAGCCAGGCCCCTGAAGTGACCATGCCCTGCTCTCTCCAGAACAACTGCACACAAAATACATACACGCATTCTCCTGAAGTAAACTAACATGAACTGCTGATCATGTCTATTGAAGCCAGAAGTCCCCCAGTGCTCTCCAAATACCACTCGTGAAACTGCCAGGTGACGGGAATTTCTGGAACTACATAGAGGTGGTGGGCTTATGACACTGTGAATGTCCTACACGTCACTGAACTACTCATCTTAAAATGGCTAATTTTATGTCATATAAATTTTTACCTTAACTTAAAAAAAACCTATGAAATAGTTTGGAAGCTGAGATATACCAGAAGCATGAGACTGTTTTAATGAAACATTTCTCATGATTTTTTTTTCATTTTTTTTTTAAATATCAAGGAGGTCTAAGTATCTGATAAGAAACAACAGAATAATTTACATCTTACACTTCATAATTTTCTCTATTCTGCCTGTATGGGGATTGAGGTTCAATGACCCCTTTTATTCAAATTTTACAGACGTTTTCATTTTCAAGAAAAGCGTTTCCTCCTGAGGATCCTGCCGGGCATTTCTGTGGCATCTGAGGACACTCTCCCCCAGCACGTGTGTTTCTGGGGTGTGGCGTGGCTGTGCGGGTGAGGCAGTCAGCAGACAGACTGTCGTGATGCCTGCCCTTCCAGGCTCGTGCTGGAGGGTCCCAGAGGGGTAAGACCTGGCTGGTCCTGCCCTCATGAAGCCGGAGGTACCACGTCAGACAGGGAAGGGACTCTCAGGGGACCCTCAACATGGGTCAGACTCCCCACCCCGGCTGTCCTCCCAGGGCCCACAGTTGCTCTGTCCCCATATACCTGTCCCCAGTCCTTCATGTTAACCACGACCCTTGTCAAATTCCAACACACCCTTAAGAAAATTAAACAGTATTTGAATTCATATTTAGATATGAATTATGTGAGCAAATATTTAAATATCCATCCCTTTCCTGGAGTAGGTGCTGTGATTTAAAAGGTGAGCGTGATGGGCACAAGTACGTGCACCAAGGGCCTGGTGCCCGGAAGCTTCTCTGCCCCCAACTCATGCTCCATGCTACTGCCTAGAGTCATGACCGACACTGGTCTTCCCAACTTACAGCATCGCCCTTCGCCTTGCTGCTTTGTTCTAATGGTACTGGCATCCTCTATTTGCCGAATGTCGATGGGGTCTGAGCCAGGTGTCCGAGCTACACGTTCCACTTCAGTCTTCACAGGCTCTGCCTGTGGTAGGAATGACTACTGCTGTGCAGGACACGAAACCAGGGCTCGAAGAGGTCCCGAGACCCATCAGAGCTCACCCAGCTAGGAAGCGTCAGAGCCAAGGTGCATGTGCATCTGGCATTCACCCAGAGAGAGACGAATGTCGGGACAGAAGCACCTGCCACCACTATGCCACGTGCACCCAGGCCTCCCTGTCTGCTGAGCAGCACTTCAGACGGCGGTTTCCAACAGTAGAATGTCACTAAGAGCCTGTTTGAGCCTGGCAACGGAACCAGAACCCAGATGCCAGATGCCGGAAATCTTTCAAAACATGCGAATGTCAAAGTGCAAAAAGATCCGTTTGGTCCATTTAGGCTCTGTCCTTCATGACTCGTTAGGTAATACCGAACAGGGAGAAGGCAGTACGATTCCCATTGTAGAGGGATGGAGAAGCTTGGGGCCAGGGGAGGGGTTGATTCGTAGCAATTGCTAAATCCTGTGGGGTAAACACTCCCACCCTGGCAGATCACAAGCCACCGACTGCTGTCACCTAGCTCATGAATCTCCTGACACCTCGGCAGTCGGCCCTCGGGCACCACAGGAATGGCAGGCCCTGGGCATTCATCCCTCTTGGCTCTTGCTCTTCGCTTCGTTCCAAAAAGGCTCCTTTAATTCACCCATCTATTAATAAATCTGGAGGATGCTTTGGTTTGCTTTTTGTATGCTCTGTTTATTGTTTATTGCAGAGTTGCTTGTCTCTGGGAAGGGTGGGAACAGGATGCCTGTGCAGAGGCAGGGCCCGCAGGCTCCCAGGACACTCATGGCTAAACTAAGTGCACACAGGACCTGGCTGATGCACACAGAGGACACGTGAGACGTGAAGGAAGCGACGCTGTGCTCACAGTCACCCTACGGGGTTGTCCTGGTCATAGATGGGCCTGTCCCGCAGCAAGGACTCTCCGTGATCAAACTTTAGTCGTGCTCCTCTGAGCCCCTTCTCCACCAGGGCCTTGACCTCGGCCATCCACATCCGTCCCTGGCAACCTGGGTTCTAGCAAGAATCCTGCTTAGTCATCCCCCAGGCTTGACTTCTGATCAAGCTCCTCTTCCCCTACCCGTCATGTCTAAGCCCTTGTCCTGCCTTCAGTGGGAATCCTGCTGGTCCCATTTAGCAAGGATGCCCCTGCCCCTCGTGTCTCCGCTTCATCATTTTCCATCAACTGACCCTCTCACTTGCTGTTTGGCTATAAATCTCCAGCTGTCATTGCTGTATTTTAAAGTTTTATGTTTTACATTTAAGTCCATCATCCACTTTAAGTTAAACTTTCTGTAAGGTATAAGACTGTGGTCACTGTTCATTTTTTCACCTGTGGGTGCCCAACTGCTGCAGCATCATTTGTTGAAAGGCCGTCTTTCCTCCAGTGCCTTGCTCTTGTACCTTTGTCAAAAACACCAGCTGGGCATATCTGTGTGGGTCTGTTTCTGGGTTCTCTACTCTGCTCCACTGACTGTGTGTCTGTCCTTCCTCCGCCACCACACGGTCGTGACGGCTGTAGCCACCTACCAAGTCTTGAAATTAAGTAAACTCATTCCTCCCACTTTGTTCTTTTTCAAAATGGTTTTGGCTATTCTAGTTCCTTTGCCTTTCTATATAAACTTTATAATTATCTTGTCTATACCCACAAATCTTGCTGGGATTTTGCTAGGAATTATGGTAAAAATGTCCATCAATTTGGGAACTGACATCTTTATGAGGTTGAGTTTTCCACCCCATGAACACAGTGGTTTCCAATCCAAATCCACTAGCTACATTCAGGTTAGGAGTCAAGCGCAGTCGACTCCATTAGGAGGAGGGGGCTGCAAGGGGTGCAAGGGATGCCCCTCTTTTTGCTTTCATTGAATGATAAACATACAGAAGAACATGTGCAAGGCTATATATGTGTGAGTCTGTCATACAGGAACATACATCTCACGTAACACTCACATAATGTACAAACAGAAATGCAGCAACACTGTGTACATTTTTTCTTATTTTAAATTTCAGTCCCTCGTGCTGAGAAATATGGGCAGTTTAATTGCTATACGCTATGTATGAAGAGAGGCATTTACAGTCCTGAAACCACAAAGGAAACTTTAGGAGAAAGATGGCCCTTCTACTCTGTGACCCACAACCTGGTTTGCTCTGGAGAAAGAAGGAAGCTGAAACTCGCTGTCATTATCACCACCACTGCTGGGCAAGGGGCGCGACCACCCAGTGGATTTACAGTCGCATCCCTGCATCTTCCCCAGCAAGATCTGTCCTCTCCCCAGGCTTCCGAGATGTAACAGGAATGGAAGTATTTCTGCATAAGAGGACACGTTTGTAAAAACGGTGACCACACGGTGCAGTATGGAGCTGCCTTACTCCTGTGACACATGGGTAGATTTCTTACCGCGTCCTCCTTTGTGCAGGCTGGCCGGGCTGCTCACTTGGGTCTCGGGTGGGCTGAATGGAGGATAACGCGGGGGTGTTTTCACTGGAAAAGAAAGCAGAGCAAGGGGTTGTTGTCACTCTCCGCCCTGCGGCATCAAGCTGCACACGGATGGTTTTACTTCCTTCTTACCATACGGTGTTTCTGGAGACACAGGAAATGCAGGTGTGGGACACATGGACTCTTTGCTATTTAAAATCCTGCCATCGATCATATCGAGGTCTGGGGGGTACGCAGCCATCATCGTCTGAAATCAGCACGGGGAGGAGAATGTAAGAACAGAGCGTCTAGGGAAGGCCCCTCCCCAACAGCTGGGCCCCCAGCGTGGCCCCTTGGGCCCAGCCCTCCTCTGAGAGCGGGAAGAGGAGGTCCGGATCCACAGCACAAAACCAGCCCGCCTCGCCCAGCCACAGAAGACTGGAAAATGCTTTCATGTTCAACAGTAAAGGAAGAGGCAAGTATCTTATGGCCTGTCCCTTTAATATAATACTATACAGCTAGTAAATGAAGTTGGCAGAGAGTTTGTAACAGCATGGGGAAATGAACACCACAGCATAAAAATACACAGTAAATTAAACACAGCATAGAAAAAGGGCTGGGTGGACACATTCCAAATATTAGCACTGGTTTCGATTGTGAGTCAAGACTGTGAACAACTTGCTTTTCTCATCTCTTCTGTAAGTTCCAAATTTTCCAACTTGAGAAGAAATTATAACTGAATTTTAAAAGGTTAATCGTTTTGGGTACACTGACCTACCTTACTTGGATTCTGAGTAGAAGCCTTAACTATGTTTCTGGGAAGAACAAGGAGAAGTTCTTGTCTGTGGCCAATGCTGCTGGGCCACCTCCTGTGAAGGTCTTGGAGGGAGGATCTGGGCCCTGTATGATGACCTTGAAGGACATCTGTGTTTGCTGCTGGCTGCTGCTGTCCAGTTGCACAGCCCCACTAAGACCAGGCCGGTAGGATCCTAGCTTGAACCCTCACAGCCCACCTGCATGCTGTGCACTTCATGCCCATTCTACAGATCACAACACAGAGGCCCTCCCAACCACACCACCTGCCTGTGGCAGAGGAACCATGTCTGTGAGATGGGGAGGAGAGGCGGGTGCTGGAGGGTCACGTGCTGTATTCAGGGACCAGGCCCAGCCATCGCCCATTTGCCCTGAACTCCAGGAAGGAAAGCGAGTGGGAATGAGCCCAGAGATTGGGACGGGGCCGCGGCATGTACCTCTTTGACATCTGCTGGAGAGGGGAATGGTGCCAGGCTTGGAGCTTGGTCCACAGTGGCCTTTCCCCATGCACATTTGGAGAAGGACAGCTGCCCGGCAGCATCGTTGTCATATTGTCCAAGGCTCAGCTTCCTGAGTCTTCCACCCAGTGGCTCATTAGCCAAGGAGCCTGTTGGGAGAGAGACAGCAGAGTGAGGCGATCCTTAAAGAAATCTCGAATGTTGGACTTCTCAAAGGCACGCCATATTTCACGTGGGTCCACGCTGCTCCAGGCAGAACTGCGGCTGCTGCAGAGAGACTCGAAGCCTGAGGCCTTCTCAGACTCCCGGGGCTGGGCGAGGCAGCTCCTGCAGGCCCCTGTGCTCCCTTCAGAACGGGCTTCTGGGGGACAGCACGAGCATCAGGACTCATCTGGCACTGGGAAAACACAGAGCTGGGTAGGGCCAACAGTGACCGTGCTTGGAGGGAGCCCCACGGTGTGGGTGTCAGCCCCTAGTCAGGACCCAGCACTCTGATGGCCACACACCGCAGTGACTCCAGGCAGAATGTGGCCCTACTATGATAGTTTGAACCTTAGCAAGGAGAAATTGTAGAGGGGAAAAAAGACTCTATTTCAAGCATCGATAATACACATTCGTCATCACAAACTCTCTGCCATATACGCCAAAGGCTTGTTCCTGAAACGCAGTTCAAGGGTTCCCTCGCCCGACCAAATCTGATTCTCATTATGTTGGAGGGAAATGCGAATCAGGGACTGGAACCTATAATTTTTTTAAACCTCTTCCAAGTTATCTCCCTTCCCCTTCCCCCTCCTCCCTCCTCCCCTCCCCCTTCTCTCTCCTTTCCTTCCTTTCTTTTTTGCTAGAGATAAGGTCTCACTCTGTCATACGGGGTGGAGCACAGCGGTACAATCATAGCTCACTGCAACCTCAAACTCCTGGGCTCAAGTGATCCTCCCACCTCAGCCTCCAGAGTTGCTGGCACTACAGGCATGTGCCACAATGACCAGCTTACTTTTTCAAATTTTTTGTAGAGATGGGGGCTTGCCGTGTTGCCCACGTTGGTATCGAACTCCTGGTCTCAAGCAATCCTCCTGCCTCAGTCTCCCAAAGTGCTGGGATTACAGACATGAGCCACCGCACCCGGCCCTAAGTGATTCTTATGATTGGGCATTTAGGAAAAACCTGCTGCAAGCTATTAAAAAAATAATGTTTTTACTGATGGTGTAGTCTGAAAATTAGACTCCACAATGATTTTCCCTACAGTTTAAACAACAAATACTTAATCCCTATAAGCATGAGTTTCACAGTGATGCTTCCCTGAAAGGCAGGGTTTGAATCACCAATGTGTGTCGCAGATACAGGGCTCACCTTTGAATGGCTTTGTTCCACATCGGTTGACGGCCCCTTCCAAAAGGAACTATGTCATAGCAGCCATATTCGCTGTGGTGCTGAGCCCCACGGGGAGCCATTGCCCCCCTCCCTATCTCTCCTCCCATATCCAGACTCTTACGAAGCCCAGGAGAATGCAGCAGCTGGCGTGACAAAGGGAAGGTACCAGAGACAGGGACAGGGCACCAACCTGCCTGTCTGCCTGAGAGGGGGAGAGCGAGTCTCTCGAGGGTCCTTGAGTCCAACCACAGTACGGACTCCACTGACCGACCCTCCCAGCTTCCAGGCACCACCCGGAAGGAGTTGGCTCCCGGGCTGCAGCCAGACTGGGCACCGCCCTCCCTGTCCCACGGGATGCCTGCTCAGTGCCACACAGCCGTGACCGAGTGTGCGAGATCAAACCCAGGTCTCTACAAGCTTCGTTCCACCCCCTCCTCCCCTCCTCCCGCTGCTCCCAGCAGCCCCTCCACAGCACCAGGGAAGCGGAGGAGAAGTGTGTGTCAGGACTCGGGATGTGGGGTCTGCGGTGTTTCCCTCACCAGCTGTGGGACATCCTCCACCCATTTCTTTATGGGTAGAGCAAGAGCAACGCCTGGTTTCTTTTCTCCCGCAAACAGGGATGAAGATGAAATAAAGTGAAATGGTGTGCCTGGGCGTCCTCTGCCTTGTGGTCCCTTGTCCTCACACTCATCGCCCTCCAGGGACAGGGCAGGGAGGGGACCACGCTAGTCACAGCAAGAGCCATGGGTCTGCCCCCGGCATGTACTTGCAGGCACTCTAGGAACCAGTGTAGAGAGGTCAGAGTGGGAGGCGTGAGGCCCCAAAGGCAGGCTGGCCGTGCACGACCTGGTACCCAGCTCAGACGTGGGATGTTGTCCTCAAAGCAGTCCAGGTGGCAGGTGACAGCCACAGGTGTTACTGATGGAGAGGAAGTGCCATGTCCAAGAGCAAGTGACTGAGAGCCTGATACCCTCCCTGGAAAAGGGAGCCACACTGCCAGCATCAGGGAAAATAATTCCATCCCAGAGGACCTATCTGCAGCCTGTGCTGGGGGCTCTGCTGCCCTTTGCTGACCCCTACAGTCCACTCACAGCCTAGAAATTCAGAGATCACTTCTGGAGATGTGATTTGGGAAGAAGAAGGAATATTACTTCCTTCTTCTATTCAATATGCAAAATAACGTGCGGTGGTTTGTCAAAAATGACACATTGATATCATGACAACACACAATGTTGCATGTGCATTGCTGCATGATGTGCACAGAAAAGATGGATATGCTAATTACCCTGATTTGAACATTACACATTGTATGCATGTATGGAAATACCACACTGTACCCCATAAATATGTACAACTATTATGTGTCAATTAAAAATAATAACAACAAAGAAAAGTGTGGAAACTGTGTCAGGTGTTCCGTTTGACCTGGGGAAGGCAACCTGGAAGCAAACATTAATGTGCCCTGACCTCAGCCCACGTGGGCCACAGGTGGACAACGGAAACCAACTTGTTTCAGAAACTGAGGCCCCATCAGTGCTAGTTTAAAACCAGCAGGGCCTCGCAGGTGCAGCTGGAAGGCACTTCTATGTAAAGCACGTCTAGATGGGAACAGGAGCCAAAAAGGAATTTACAGAACTGAAGCGTGAATCTCAGGGCAGAGCAAGAGGCAGACACGTGTCCTAAACTTTGACATTTTGGTTTGAGAGCAGCTAGGGAACAGGGTCTGTGCATCAGCTGCTGCGGCGCTGACAGCCGGGCTGCACCCCGGGCTCCCGCCACCGGAGGCAGCTCTGAGACAGGCATTCCGTGAGCTGGCCCCAGAAATGTCCCTGCTGAACACACGGATTTGCAACTGTTTCTCGATTTCCTCTCTCTCTCACTCACAGATTACAATAAAAAAATAGGGTTTTCTTCATTCAAATGTATCTCCTGGAAAATGTTCTGACTATCAAATGCCACCCCCAGTGCCTACGCTAAAACCTGTGTACGCTGCACCGGGCGAGGCAGAGCTGTGTGTTTCTCCCTCTGGATGGATTCGCACTTCTCAAAATCCTGCCACTGATACATCAGGAGGAAGGCTGTTTCCATACCTGGGGGAACACAGCAACGGGCAGTGACCTAGGTCTAAGGCCCAAGAGGGGCTCCGCAAAAGCAGAAAGAATGGGGAAGCCAAGGAACCTGCAAAAATGCCACCCACAGCCCAGCTCCCCCATGGTCTGCACAGAAAGCATCGCTTCAGCCCTGCAGGGTGCTGCTTTACATCCCCAAAGGAAAAAAGGCAGGGCGCACAAGGTCTTCAAGGCACAGGCCGCTGCGGAGACAGAGATCCTGCCTTCCGTTTGACTGTAAACCTTGGAAATGTGAAGTCTGAGACGCCAGGAAAAACAAGGCAAAATAAAACAGGCTTTAAGACGCAGCACAAGACCACGTGCCAGGACGCACCGACATCTGCCCAGGAGGTAGTTACAGAAGAAAGAAAAGCAGAAAAGAGATCCGCTTTCATCCAGCAGCAGTGACAGTCCACGCCTGGGCGCTGCTCCCCTAGAGAAAAGCCCATCGTCACTCAGCGAAGGAGGCCCAGCACGTCACTCTGCAGATGAGGAAAACGGGGGTCTCACATCCAGGAACTCACCCCACACCACACAGCAAGTCAGCAGAGAGCAAGGATTGGTCCCCACATGTATCTGACTTTAAAATCCACAACCGGAAACGCTACTTCTTGGGTTCACTCTGCCTCACCCACCGCTGCCTTCCCTTCCCTTCCCTTCCCTCTGTTCCCATGAGGGACCTGGGAGACACTGCCCGCTCACGCAGCCCGTGGTGGCTGTTGGTGCATAATAATTAGCAGATGACAAAGGAGTCGCTGGTATCAGGAAGGCCACCCATGCCCCAAGCAAGAGGACCCTTCCTGCTGGGCACGTCCGGATGAGGCAGCCAACGAAGGCTTCTCAGATTCTTCCGTATCTCATGCAAATTTGAGCCTGCCTAGCAGAGCCTGTGTTGCCTTCTACAAGCCCTTTTGCCTGTGCTTCCAGCTCAGACACCTTGACATACGGCTCTTGACTAGAAAAGAGTCTGTCTCTAGGTATTCTGAGAGAAGTAAATTTGGATAGCAGATTCTATCCTGATAAAACTGTCTTGCTGTGGTCTTCATGCACAAAAATTCTCTTTCTACATACACTTGAGTAGGTGGCATAAAACGCACTGCCAATATAGAGAAAACATGCAATTTTCTGGATATTTCTGATCAGGTAGTCACAATCAACAGAAGTAGCAAATGTGGTTTCATAAAGTGGGGGAAACAAAAGGCAATTTAAAATAACTTTGAATCGTGGCCAGCTCACTCACTCAATGAGGAAAGAGGGAGGCATTTTCATGCATGCTTGCCTAGTTTTATTTATAAGCACCACTAAGTTAATAGCTCTGTATCTTTTTGGTGTTTGCACTAAGTATGCTTTTAATACCTTTTGATTTTGTTGTGATTTTTTGTGTATTAAATGTTTTTCATTTTGAAAAAAAAAAAAAAAAAAGAAGTAACAATGTACTCCTGGCAGTCTTAGGAAATCCACCTAAAACGTGGGGTCTGGTCGAGAACCTGGAGGGGCGCATTTCCAGAGGGTCTGAGCACAGAGCAGTCTGGAGGAAGGAAGGGTGGCGTTTTCACATCCTTCCTGTCCGAGAACCACTGCCGCGTGGTCAGACAAGAAGTCAGAGGGAGACTTGTCACAGTGTGGCCGACGCACAGCCTGGGTCGGTGGGAGCTGCCCTGCAGGCGCTT